AGTCAAGTTGAGGGAAGACATGGGACGAATGAACCTGGCAGAAAAAATGTAGAACTGGAGATGCCAATGTCACACTAACTTATGCTCTCCGCTTGAAAAAACGTGTTCTGAGCATACACATCGGTCCTGCATTTCCGGCAAATGACAGAAAAGGGATCAAATGATCTCATCCAATCGAACTGTGCATGACAGGAACATGATCGCTCAATCCAACATACTGTATTCATGTCATTCTGCCTCTTAAAAAAAACACCAACAGTCTGAAAGCTTCCGGCCACAAAACAAAAGAAATCTATCTTGCCAACCAAATTCAATACAGGCCTAGATTGAATGCAAAACTCTTCCAAACGTGATGGGACACTAACCCATCCAATACAAGTAGGCCAAAATACATGTCAAGCACACCCTGTGTCTGAAGCTGAAGCCCATAACACTTGTTATTAGATGTTATTAGTCATATCAGATCTAAGAGTTCTCAGATCAGAACGCTTCTTTGTGATCAGAGGTCTTTATCCATTTTGATCACGCGAAAAGAGTTTTTCGGATTTGTTTGAGGCTACACCTTTCACCATTGTCCATTTTGATGTCTGTCAAATGATAAGCCAAAGGCCTATGTTTGTCATGATCACCAGTCTCTTCCTTTGCCTTCTTTTCATGGATCATTTAAGGCATATGGCAAGCCGTTCTGATCGGTGACAGCGGGGCAAGAGCGAAACATGACGCTGTTGGGCTTCGGAAGTTCGTTCGGAAGTTCGGTGGTTGCGCCCGGCACATCTTCAGCGCAGTCCATTCTACTCTTGATGTTTCTTGTTGTACTTGGATTGACGACGACACAGTTGCAAAGTGGGTTGCAAGGGTTTGAGCATCTTCAACATTTAAACAATTGACAACTCGTTTCCACCCGCCAATGACAGTCCCAGACAGCAGGTGCTTGAAAGAAGCTGGACATGCGTTGCAATTCACCAAAGAGGCCCAGTTGTCTCTGACAGTTGTACAGCCGTGACTTCTTGCAAAAGGGGTGGTGGCATCTCCAGTGACAAACCTCTTCGCCAAAGGTGCACAAAAGGCATTGAAAGTCTGCGCGCTGAAAAAGAAAGGTAAGCCGTAAATAAATGAGAACCACGCGAGAGAGATACTCCAAGGGTGGAACCTGGTTGACTGAGGACCTGGTCTGACAGGCGGGATTGTTGATAGTACGTTCAAACGCCTCCGCACAATCAAATTAAGCAGTAGGCCATGTTGGCTGCTTTCCACTTTTCCCGCACAATGGTCTATCCGCATGGCCAAATGCCGCTGGAATGCAATTCTTGCGACTTGGCGATACTTGGATTCGTTCACACGAGAAGGCCTTGTCGTGCTTTGGCCCATTGAGCTATCTTACCTGCTGGTCTTTGTACAAGGTCAACCCTTGATCCACACAAAGCTCATAATCTGGGAAGGCAGGTCGTTCCAGCGTGACCACGTAATGCACGCTGGCTCTGTGTCCAGGTCCACTTCGCCTGTCAAAAGACCGCAGGTAGAATCCAAGTTTGACATCAACTACTGTTTGAATATGTTTGAATAGCTGAATGTGGCAATATGATAAACGAAAGTTCACACCGTCCCCTGTCCAGCATCAAGCTGTGTGAAGCATCTCAAACACAAACAATGCAATCAGTTGACGGCCTGGGTCGTTTGTTCAAACATCACAATTCACCCCTAGGCCCGTAGCGGATTCTGCAATGAACACGGATTCTTGAACGAAGAACGTGGACTGCTTTGAGGGCTTGGGCAGAGAGCAAAAATCATGAAGCTGTAATGTAATAGCTACATCTCCTGCGCCAGCAAAGAAGCATGATCCAGCTGTGCTTGATGCTCCCAGCTATGAGTTAGCCAGTCTAAATAAGTCTATGTTGTGATTGCTAGGTAGACTGACTTCTTGCTATATACAGGAGTTTGAACAAAAAACATCAAATCAGCGCAGGAAAAGTGTCTCCATCTCGAGCAACCCCATTCTTTGATGATTGATCTGTGCTCTGGCAGCCTCTGGCCACCACATCTTCCTTCCATATTGTCACCTCAGTGACAAAAGAACAAGGTCTGCTTGCGGGCCTAAGTCATACCAGTCATCCTGTGCTAAAGCACCACACTAGCCAACACACTAGTACTGTAGATTGCCATACCAATTGCCATACCAATACTCTTGCCTTCAAGGGCTACGCCTGTTTCAACTTATGTTCCGGGCACCGCGTGACCAACGGCTCAATCGTGCCGTGGCAAAGCAGCTGGAGATCGTGCTTATCTCCAAGGTGCCACAATTGTGCCATCAGAGATCAATGATGCCATGGACGCCATCGTGTTGGACCAAAAGATCTCTCCGCTTTGGATGTGTGCCTGGCACCGTCATCCGGCACGAACATCGGGCACTTTCCGTCCCGCCACAAGATGCGAATCCAAACCTCTTGCTTCTATTGTCATGGGTGCGAAGAAGTCTAGAACTAGAAGTTAAACTCTTGTTAAAGTATCGGCCAACGTTGCAATCGGGCATTTCCTCTCATCAAGCCACGTGGTGCCTGTAGCACTGGCAACGGTGGCAGGAATCTACGGAGAGGTGTCTACACTACCTCTTAATGCCATGCCCTCATACAACCTCAAATCAAGCTAGCGTCACTACACAAAGAACCCCTGCACAATAGTGAGGCAACAACGGTCTATATAAAGTCTCATGACAAATGAAGTATCCCCCCCTCATCTAAATTATTTCCTAAAGCAGCAAGGGGGCCTATGAGGAAGTGACCGGAATTCAATCTCTGCATGCAGCAGTACAAAGGGGAATGAGGTTGGATTTAGGGTGTTGAAATGGCAGTCGAACGTGTTAAAGACAATGCAAAGGCATTTTGCAAACGCTTTGGACACGACACATGCAAAGAAGTTGGCTTAGTCGATAGCATGATTTCAGCTGCACGCTGTGTTTACAGTCCAGCCTTCCAGCCGATCCAACAATGACTTACCCATACCGGGTTGAGCCTGCCGGCGATCAGTTCGGGGCAAATGGAGAATGCTTGGAAGATTCAAGCAAATTACGGTGGGTGTGCAGAACCCAAACTTGGATACGGATCTTGCGCATACTGTTTGATCACACGGGTTCTGACATATTGACAATCTATGACAATCTTTTGATGTTTATTGCTTTTTTCTTAGCGGCCACGGAGTGAGTATATACTCCCATGTGCATTTGAGCGTACAACAAACTTTGCTCTGAGCAACTTGTCAACGACACCAAACAACTACCCCCACATCGGGCTTCAAATGAATGCATTCTGCCGAGATTTGCCTCACTCAGCCGCTGCAGCTCCTTCAAAGGT